ACTTTATATTTATCATCTAAATAATTAATTGAAGCATTGATTGGTTGAAATTTTGTAATTTTTGCATGAGGGGGCAATCAATTAAAATATAATGTTATAGATCGCAGTTTTGTTCTTACATTAAAGATTATTTTGAATTTATTTTGTATCTTCCCTTTTCAAAGATATACTAAAGATCGACACAGAAAACTAGAAAAAAATTCTGTGGAATAAGGTAACAATGTTGATCAAATAAATAGCCCCGAGGTAGCATTCCGCAGTCTTCGCTGTGTTTAAAACAATGCACTACTAAAGTATTTATAAATTACTCAAGGTTACTCATCAAAATGTGTCCCTTTTATTTTTAAATTAACCGCCTACAATTCCCATTGTTCTATCTATATTCAATTTATAACAAGACACAATAAACTGACAAAAGTTCATAGCACTAATTTGCGATGACGGAATTGAAATAATGGAATCAGATGTTGCTTATTCCTGATTATTTCTAAATATTTGTGTCTGAACATAAACTAATGCTCAAAAGAAAGTACCCACCTATATAATTTACAGTACGATTAACAAAAATTAAAATAAAGTGATTAAACCACTGTAATACATCTCACACACGGTCAACACAAAATTTCACATGAAAAAATGATGAAAAAAGTGAACGAATTACGCAAACGACGCTAAAAATAAAAAGCGACAAATTCTGATGTTGCACGAAATGCACGTGCATGATGAGGGTATAAATCAGTTTACTGGACAAGTTAGCAACAGAGGATAAAGAAAAACACAAAAAGTATGCCACGTTTGAGCCGTATTGAACGAGAAAGAGCTGTGGGAATGGCGCAACATGGAGCAAACATCACCTTGATCGCAAGAACCTTCGACTGCTCCAGAAAAACTGTAACAAAATTGATGCAGCGTTTGAAGCAAACAGGCATTACATCAGACAGGCCTAGGAGTGGTCGACCACGTGTCACAACGCCAGGTGAGGACCGCCACATCAGGACAATTCATCTGAGGAATCGTTTCGTTACTGCAACAGCAACGGCATCGGCGGCATTAGGGCATCGTATCAGTCGACACACAGTGTACCGGCGACTGAGGGAACGTGGTATCCGAGCACGTCGCCCCTACCGAGGAGTGCACATGACATCGACGTCGTCGATTGACATGGTCCAGGAGAGTTCGGCGATGGCAGATTCGTGATTGGCAACGTGTGATGTTCACGGACGAGAGTAGGTTTTGTCTTTACAAAAATGATGGTCGTGCTCGTGTTTACAGACGTATAGGTGAGCGTTTAAGACCAAATTGTGTTCAGGAAGTCAGAGCGTTTGGAGGCGGTAGTGTGATGGTGTGGGGAGGGATCTGCGATGATAGGAAAACACCACTTGTGACTATTCGTGGCAACCTTAATGCTCAAAGGTACAGAGACGAGATTTTGCGACCAGTTGTTCTACCATTTATACGGCAACAACCCCGTGGCATTGTCTTTCAACACGATAATGCAAGGTCACATACAGCAAGATTGACAAATGACTTTCTTCAAAACGCCAACGTCGTTGTTTTACCGTGGCCAGCTTGTTCTCCCGACATGAATCCGATTAAACACCTATGGGATTACCTCGATCGGCAAATCCGAAATCGACCAACGCAACCTGTTACTGCTCAACAGCTGGAACAATGTCTCGTAGAAGAATGGCAAAGAATAACGCCTAACGTCATCCAACGTCTTACATCATCAATGCGTCGACGTGTTGTCGCCTGCATTGCTGCTAATGGGAGTCACACTTGCTATTAATTAATTAATTGATAAATAAATATTGATTATTTTTTAAAGACAATTTGCCTTCTGAATTTCTGTAAAAGTAAACCCGACCCCCCTTGTCTTTGTGTGCCGGTCGAACAGTAAACACGGCTGTCTGTTACTTAAATTTGTGTAAATTTGTTGTAGAAATGAATATTCTATTGGAATTACATAGTTGTTCATTTCTATCTGCTTTTGTTTTCTCCTAAAAAATGGTCAAACCTAGTGGGTACTTTCTTTTGAGCATTAGTTTAGTATGGTCTCTTTTGTTCAGGTTATGTCAACTGCATGTTATGTTCACAGCGTGCTCGTCAGAACCCTCCTGTCAAGGTCAAGTTCAAGGACTTGTCCAGAATAACATATGATGACGCTACAGATGTAATATTGGCTTATATGGCAATTGTGATAGTGATATTCTGATCTCAAAGTCTCTTTCCAGTCCCTTGAACTTAGTTTTATCATATTACCATCCAAAACGGTCATCAATCTTGAATTGAATATGAAGGCATGTTTCACCTAAAGTGTGGTTTTATTGGAAATATATTTTGTGGTTGTAAATCAAAATTACTGTATGTAATGGCTGCTCAATAAAGTACTCTTCACATAATCAGTTAGTTTCAATTTCGAAGCTTTTCATTGATTGAATCCAATTTTTAAAATGAACTTAAAATATGTATGAATGTGTTCAGATTGAAATAGTGTTGGTTAAAGTCGAAAGGAATTTAACGACAAAAAAGAAAAGTTTGAAAGTGAATTTGAATCAGATTAACTGTTAATGTGAATGTATAGAAACAACGTGTATAAATCAGTGTCTAGGTATAGTCTGTTATTTCACCCTGCTAATATATCTCTTGATACCGTGACCCGACAACTTGATTAGGGTGGAGTTGACGGAACTTTAAACAACAATAATTACCATTCTTTGTTCAACCTGCTTATTAAGACCATATTTAGACAACTCTTATTGATATGGAGACGTAGATTTCCAGGATAATTGATAGCTCAGCACCGATCTATTTTTTCGGTTCTTTCTTGTTTTTGCTCTGAAAAGTTGAGAGTTAACTTTTATTATTCATGTAAAAGACAAGAGTGGCAATGTAATCGTTTTAAATTTCAAATGATGACTTCAAATTGCCACATATGTGAATGAAAAACGTTTTCAAGATTTTTTTTTCTAAAATATTTTTTTTTTACTTATGAGATAAAGGGTTTGTTATCCAGAAAAGATCCTGCAAGCTTTCAGCGCAGTTGACACTTAGTTGTCAATGAGGGTGTACTAAATTATGCATATATATATTGATATGAAACAACATTAAAAAGCTGGATTTTAACACTTGTATCCAGTAGAACATCATTATAAGGGTCATAAGAACGCAATATATGTTTTATGTAATATTGTAGATTTTACATTGACGTGAATACTCATTATATTAAACAATTGACTATTTGCTTTGACGAATGGATTCGGCATTTCTCGTCATCGATCGAAAGAGATGAAAATGTTGCATTTTGAAACTTTAAACAAAATATAATAACTGTAATAATAACAGCCAGAGAGTGTTTGATGCTTTCAGTGAAGGTTTTCCTTTCAAAGAAGTTTATCTTGGTGATATTTTCTAGAGAAACCAATCTCCAATATTCATATTCTGATTCAATTGAAGCCAATTTTCTAGAATTATTTCTCAATCTTTGCCGTGAAACTTCAGTAGTTAGTCATAATCACCCTAGTAATGTTTGATGGACCGCCATACAGGGTCAGAGGTCATCAGTAATATTGGGCATAATGATTGAAATCTATGTTAAATGACTTGTTTCCATGGTAACGTGATGTAAATTATCCCTGTTTTCATACTTAATAATATTGAAATTCTGTGCCTGGTTTTTCTTTGATGGTAGGAAATTTATCAATATAAAATTATAGCCTTGTTGAAACAAAATTATTCTTAATTCGATTTTTTATCTTTTGATTGATTTGATAAAGAGGCTGTTTTGTGGTTATTTTCTCCTACTTAAAGTCACGACAACACAAATTCTCTTAATCATTTTTTTTAGGAAAATATGCATACTGGTTTTTGAACAGTAGGAAATACTACAACTTTGCTCAATATATTGAATTACAATCTTCGAAAGAGGTGTCGAATTGACATCCGGTTTCAGATAAAGTATTCAGTGTTAGTTCATTTTTGAATACATATTTTCATAAGATTATGGAATTTGATTCGATCGAAAATAAACATGCTTTAATGAGACCTTCTGTGTTAAATTACATTGCGTATTTATTTATTATCCCTTTGCTTTCAAAGTTTACATTTAGATTAGCGTATGGTTTTTGTATTTCTCAAGTCCAAAGTTCTTTTAGCAATTCTCTCTTTGATTATTACAATTTTAGGGCCTAGGTATCAAAGCATGTATCTAAATGACGATTATATATTCGTTGACGTGCTCGTAACGTAATTCCTTAACACATTTTACTGAATGCTCTCCTGCTGATTGGAACCTTTTCAAGTTATCAGTTTGTTCTCGCACTACTTCATTAGAGGTGTACTTAAACATGACATATGCTGTCTTTAAATGACCAAATTATCTCACCTTTTATATTTCTTCTGCGTAAATTTCGCCAGTTTGCATTCGCAGAAACTTATTTACATATGTTCACGTTTTGCATGAAGTATAAAAGCGAACATTTAGATCCTTATAAGATATTCTGTTTCACAAACCTATATGTATATTACTATACGGTATTTTTCAGTTTTAGATTTTCTAGAAGCTGTACTCCTTACAATTTTAAATCCAATTTGTCAAGCTTGTTCCCAAAACATTTTTTAATTTTAGTGGAATTATTTCTGGATGTGTTTTATGGATCTATGTTGTAATGCGCAAGTGTAAACCTGACTATTAATTACTGTGTTTCCTCTACTTCAGACTTTGGTACATTGATGCGCATGGTGTGATACAGAGATATCTTCAGGCAGCTACAACAAATGTCAGGAAAACTTTCAAAAAACAAAAGTTATTCTTCAACGAATGTCGAACAATAATCGGAGATCGAGTTGATTCCACCAGGTGAAGAAGTGAATGACAACTTGTGTTTGTAATTAATTTTGGAAAGTGGATCACATAAATTGTCAAAATAGGGGAAACACTAGAATTAAAACCTATTAACAAAATGGGTTCTGTGCCACAAACGTTTTCAGAAAAGACGTCAATGTATTTTCAAAAGTTTAATGAGAGGGTTCATAACCCGACTCATCAAAGACGACTTGTGCTAGTGACAGTTTGTATAGCACTCTTACTGGATAATATGTTATACATGGTCATAGTTCCAATTATACCAAATTATTTAAGAACTTTAAATGGTGTAAGTTATGGAAACTGGTCGAACTTGACACAATATTACGCTCAATTTACCACGCCTAAACCACCTAATATAACAAACAATACGGAACATAGTTTCTTTGATTTAAGTGAATGGAAGAAGAAGTTACCTCCTCCTCCTATCAACTACGGAAACGAAGGTGGTGCTATAGGAGTACTGTTTGCTTCCAAAGCTATACTTCAGCTCATGGTGAATCCGTTTACTGGACATTTGATTGACAGAATCGGATATGACTACCCAATGATGATCGGATTGATTATCATGTTCTTCTCCACATCAGTTTTTGCTTTTGGGGAGAGTTATTTTGTACTGTTCTTTGCTCGAAGTTTACAAGGCGTTGGATCTGCCTTTGCGGACACCTCCGGTTTAGCCATGATTGCTGATCGTTATACGGAAGAGGCTGAACGGTCTAAAGCTCTTGGTATAGCTTTGGCCTTTATTTCATTTGGATGTCTATTCGCTCCGCCTTTCGGGGGAATATTGTACGAATTCGCGGGAAAACTCGTACCATTTCTCCTGTTAGCTTTTCTTTGCTTAGTTGATGGAATACTTTTATTATTTGTGATGAAACCTGTCCGGAAAGAACGTGACATGATACCAAATGAAGAGCGTCCTAAAGGTACACCGATACATCGATTGCTTCTGGATCCTTATATTGCTGTGGTGGCGGGTGCTTTGGCAATGGCTAATGTTTCATTGGCTTTCTTAGAACCAACTATCTCTTTATGGATGAAAGATACGATGAAAGCTGACGACTGGGCTATTGGATTTGTTTGGCTACCGGCGTTCATTCCACATCTTTGTGGGGTCTATCTAACTGTTAAGCTAGCTAGGAATTATCCACACAAAACGTGGTTAATGGGTGCTATTGGATTGGCTATGGAGGGTACTTTCTGTCTGATTTTACCATTCAGTCAATCCTACGGTGTTGTAATTGTGCCAATCATGGGGATATGTTTTGGAATTGCCTTGGTTGATACATCTCTTCTACCTACACTTGGATATCTAGTGGATGTACGGTACGTTTCTGTCTATGGGAGTGTTTACGCTATAGCTGACATTGCTTATTCAGTTGCCTACGCTTTTGGTCCAATTGTTGCTGGCTCTATTGTCCATGCGATAGGCTTTTTGTGGTTGAATATCCTCATTTTTATTACGAATATTGGATACGCTCCCATCATGATTATATTAAGGCACATTTATGAATACAAGCCATTTGAGAATGAATGCGATGTTTTAGTAGATGACCCCCCATCTAAAAATTACATGACTTGTATTCAAAATGGGAGCGTTGATGGAAAGCCCTCAACTTTAGAGAAAGGGCATGTTAACCATTTGAAAATAGGGAAGCAAAAATCTTATGATAGTGAAGAACTTGACTGTTACCCACCCAATGACTCTGGTTTCTTGTTCGAAAAACCAAGCTCTGGATTTTATCAACGTTGAAAAGACTTTCAATCATTCATTCAATTAAAGCAACCAGTTTTTCTTTCTCTTGAATTTATAACACTCGAATGAGATAGTTGTAATATTACCAGACACAATAACTGAAAGTATAGTACACGTTCATTCAGAGGTTATTCATATTTATAATATTTTGATATAAAATCTTGAGAAACCAACCTTCATTGTAACGTCATTATAATTATAATGTAAAGGGACACAACTTGGCGTTCGAACAAACATTTGCTTTCAGCAGTTACAACCTATTGTCAATTAAATATTTGCACCAGATTCGCCCATTTTTTTCAAAATAACTTAAAAGAAAAGAAGTCTTATACAATAGAACCATATTTGGTGGTAGAAGGGCTACAAAATTTTCTCCTATGTAATCAGGATCATTGTATTGCAAAAACCTGAAATCCTTTCAATTGATGAATATATTGACAGTGGTGTTTCTGTTTGCAAATTTATGACTTAGTTGATCCCTTGCTAATCTTGACATTTTTCACTCGGATTTTTTTTTATTATTGAGAGTCGACGTCGACACAGAAAGCTTTTTATTGTTAGAGATTAGGTAGTGAGTAGATTAGAGTGCGTATGTGTATGTATGTGAGTATCTCCTACTATTAATATAATTTAATATTTCCCTCGGATCGCAATAAATCTTCACATCAGCATAGGATTCTGATTATCATGTATATAATATTTAGATAGTGTTTAATGTTTATTGCAATTTTTTAAATATTATGTGATATGTGTGAATGAACGAATGACAATGAATGAATGAAAAAAGGTTATCATTTCGAACGACTCACATAAACATCACCAATTGTTGAATTTTGATTTGCCAGCAACTTAAAGACAAACATTATAACTAATGGTCGCCATCTGCATAATATGGTTGATCGATCAAATCAACAGTTCACTTGTGGTGATGGTCAAGTGGCGTCAATGATATGTTACACCACCAATTGATTATCAAAAATCATATCTTATTATAGTTATCATGGTTATCTTAGAATAATTGTTATATTTAATTGTTAATAACCAAATAGTAGTAAGGAGATAAAATATTATACATTTTTGTTCCTTTTTTCATTTGTTACAGAATGGTAAGGAATGTGTTTGGGGTTAAACAGCAATCTTTGAGAGAATATTGTCTTGCTTTAAACATGTACATCACGTCAAGATATTAGACAATCCTTATGGGCATTCTGAATATTGTCATACATCGTAAATGAATTTTAAAACTTGCTTAAAATGTTCTGTGATATCATATATTATATAAGAACATGTTACCCAAGTATATGATCCTCAAATCTTACATATTATGGGATGAGCGACTATGTCAATACAAACAGTCTGCTTTTTTCAATCGATATTATCTTTACTAGTTATCAGGGCTTGAAACGTCTGATGTTAATGTTAATAGTGGTACGGGCAGATTGATATAAAGTATTTAGTGAGTATATTACAAAGAACAGTAAAAAAATCCTGCTTGCATCAATTTTGTCAAGTACCTTGAATATACCAATGACCTTGTAAAAATGAAAACCTTGTTTCCAAGTTTTCGCAAAGACTCTTTGATACTTGATCAGTAGATAAATATAGACAAACTGCCACAAAGTACAACCAAAGATGATGTTGACTTGGTCACTTCGCTTCCTGTCTACTTACAGCGTATAGATTATCATCTCTATTGAATATAAAGATATTTGATTCAGTTAATCGACACCTCCATAACTGACCGGAACAACAGGAGTTGGGTGAAATTGTCCGGATTTAGAACTAGTTATGCCCATCAATTGTAATTACCGGCTGCTAACAACAATAATCAAAAGTAAATCATTACTAGTCTGCTTCTATCATTAATCAACACGCACCTGTAATTTTATCACGTGACCTGTCAATAATGATCAAGTTGGTGTATAATAAAGATATGTAAATTATAAGAATTAAGTGAATCGATTTGACTAAGGGTAGAATTCTCTCATTAACTCTAGGAGGCAAAATTCTTGATGAATTCTGAAAGGATAAATTACGACAATCGATCAGAGGTCTCGGTGTTTTGAAAAGATAATTTTTTCTTATTATTTAAGGCTGTCAGAATTGACGTGGTATATTGTGAATAAAAGCTTGATTACTGTTAATTTACTCATCAATCTTCTACAACGATCGGTTTATTAAAAATTCACTGGGTCACTGAGGTCACGGCAAAAATTCCTCATAGAATAAGCCGATATTAATTCCGTATATATAGGGGTAAATTAAATTTATTTAAAAATTAGTGCAGTACGTTATCAAAATGTAAATTCAGAAGATTTAGGATCACGATAACAAGAAACAACCCCGAAAAGTTGTTTCATATTTCAAAAGCAAGGTTGTTTCAACGTAATAGTTAGTTCACATGCAAATCAAACCTTCTAATCTAGCTTAAAGCGACTGGCAAACCAGCCAATTTATGGGGTTTGTTTTCACAAGTTGTAAGCTGTGTATGGGATATCATTTGTAGCAACACATTTGGTGTCTATAACTTTAGCTATAGCCCTCGGTTAGGAATCTCTATGAAATTCAAAGGAAAAAGTATTCCTAATGCTAACACACTACAATATTATTACAATAATTGTTACACGTAGATCTAAATTAATGTGCATTCTTTAAAAATCCCACGACAGTTTGTTTTTTTTCAACAAAATAACACATTATTCATTAACATACAATGTCTTGCTGCGAATTCACAACTCAGATTACCTTCACTTTCATCATTACTTCATCCAATTACTGAGAAGCTATGTTACAAGTCAACCGTTTAAACTGTAATTTTGTCCAATCAGAAAGAGTAATTGCCTTTGCCCTGCAACACGATTGTTGGTTAAACTTATTTAGATAGAGAGAGATAACTGGCAGTCGGTGTGGTACATCAAGGTCTTGACCAGATTAGACACAGATAACCTGTGTCCATTGCTTCGATTTTAAAGTGTTATCCTGTCAGTTTTAAGTTTTCCGCTTCGCTCTAAATATCAAGAGTCATTTATTAACACCTCAGGCAATTTTAGTTGCTATATTTGATAAGAGTCAAACTGGGGAGGCAATGCTGGTCGTAACATGAATTGGCCTTTACCGTATAAAATATACTTTTATTACTTTAAAGCTTCGATGCCTCTTCATTTCATTAGAGCCAAATAAATTCGTCTCACGATATTTGAGAGGGGGAATATTTAAGTGTGAAGCCATATATAGTCCCTTGATACCATGATTAATGACAGAAAGAAACGGAAAACACAGAAAATACTTCCAACGGAACCGGAAGTTTGATGGGCAACACTTATTAGGCATTCGTCTTTTCTTTTTGACGGCCAACACATGCTTGACACTTCTGAGCTCTTTCCTTCGACCTGGAAAGAAGAGGGATAAGAATCGACCATAATGAGAATCGGCGAACTAATTCGATTTGAAATGTAATAATTCTGGCAGATTATGAAGACAAGGCAGTACGCGAATTTTAAATACACTTTGAAGAATAATTAGGCTATACCTATACAGTATGTTTGTCTTTTCGTTTGGCCACAAGATACAACAAGTAACCTCGTGTTGACTGAAATTTTGTAAAGAAATCTTGGATAAAACTTACTTTACTGCTGACTCTAGCTGTAATATAATTTCAGTGAACTAAACTAATTACTCCCACTCGTATTCTAACTAATAAGACAGCTTGCCCGACACGGGAACATATACAACTAACAGCTTTGTTTTAATATGTTAAAGGTTACAATGAGATGGTTTTCAAAGAACAAGACCAATAATTCATGGCAAGTATATGTTCGATTAAATCGATAGGTTTTCAGAGAACAGGGGCAATAATTCAAATTAAATAATTTTCGATAGGTTCATCCACGGGTGATAAATAGTTATTTTACTCGTAACTAAAAAATGAATGGGAACAGGTGGAATGGGCTGACATGAAAAGATGCTTGTCAGTATTAGAGGCTGAAAGCCAACACCGGACTCTCTCGGAAGCTGGCGCATGCATCAGGATTTGTTACCTCAAGGAAGATTCAAACCCACGGCACCTAATCGCCTCGCTACTGACTGTGCTCTTACACATAAAAGAGACGATGTTCTCGCCAGAGTAGGAATTATTAACATTACACAGTTCGAAAGTTGTTAACCCCCTTCAAGGAGATATTCATATAACATGGCGCGGGCATAGATGGATATATCCTCGAAAATTGAAATTCGACCAATCAGGTACAGAAACGTAAGGACGTAAAACTCATTCCTTTTAAGCACTAAACAATTCAAGAATTTTTTTTTCTTTTGAAGTAATAAAATACACAAGATGTGTTTGTACCAATAAAGCTAAAAAGAAAACTATAAATGACTTATGACATGAAACATTGGTGTATAATAAAGACAAGGTGAAAGTGGTTCGGAATACAAGTAATAAAACTAGTAGTATAAAATAAGATAAAGGGATAGAAGAAAGAGTAAAGATGTAAGAACAATAAAATATATAGCTAATCAATCGACAGACTGTAAGTACATGGGGATGATAAAGATCGATGATGTTCCACCTTGTACAGAAATTGATCAATAATCAGTCTGATCGATCACTGGTAAAAAGAAATGCCCATGTTATTCCGTATATATGCATAATTGGTGAAAAAGGATAGAGTGCCGATTGAGGTTTTATTGATACTTACGAATCATCAAATATATGAATAATCTAAAAGAAATCTAACGGTACGCTTACTTTTTCCGAAACTTCGGTGTTGTAGTTATCTCTGTTATATAAGGGAAAATAATATGAAACCGCCTTTCTTTATTTACTGCACTGAAATGCACCAGAAAATGATCCGATTTTCACAGTCAATGTGTCAAGAAATGAATCTGAAGAATTTTCAGACTAAGTTGTATATACGGAATATAAGTTGTTTGTTCAATGATTTTTGTGGGAGGTGATAATTCTGTGGATCGATTATCTCAAATCCATTATCAATCAA